GCACAATCAACACGGCCAGTACTCCCACTCTCTCCCAGATTCGAGCACGGAGCATGAGTTCCAGCCCGGCGGTACTCCCATGGCTGGACTCTACATGGTTCCAGATGAATGCACTCCAGGTTATTTCTGTTTTATTCATCATTCATTGATTTTTACATACTTTTGCATTGCATTATAACATTGGGATGAAATATTGTAGGCTTGGCTAGAACAAAAAATGAGGCGCTGGGAGAAGCTAGAGGCGAAGATGGAGGAAGAGTGGTAGAGGGCGGAGGTAGAGTGATAGAGGATGGAGGCAGAGCGGCTGTAGATGTTTGAATATATGAGGGGTATTTACACTACAATCGATCAACATCCGCCACCGATGCCGGTCCCTCCCCCTCAACCTACTCCAATACTGTTTTAGGCACTGTAAGTCACTTTACAACCTTATAATCACCGTTTCTAGTTTATGCAGAATCAATCTTACAAAGATGCCTAGACACTAGAAACTTAGTGACTAATGCTATATGTTTGTTACCAACTAGTACTTAAGCAATCATACTAGAGCACAATGCAACTGAGAAGATATTATTGATAGTTGCAAGGGTTATACTAGTTAGGCAGTAGAGAGACCATACGTTTTGTTCAATCTTGTCTCACACATGCAATCTCTTCTCCTTTGTGCAGAATCAATCGGCGGCATCGAATGAGCCTCATGACCCAGCGTGGTCACAGCGGAACCCGTGGCCTAAGTGACTACTTGTGATTTTATTTGCATTTGCATTTGTGGATTACCTATGACTACTTGTGACTATTTGTGGTTGTGAATGAACCTACTAGTGATTCTGAAGTTTATTTGTATTTATGTGTTGTCGATATATCTATATGAACTACCTGTGATGCTTATTGTGAACTATGTGTGATGCATGTAATGTTTATTTGAGTGGGGTACATTATACGTGACCGAACAATAAAAACAGGAAATATATGGTCGCTTTGCCGAGTGTTACACTCGGCAAAGAGGCCTTTTGCCGAGTGTCTGCGCTATGACACTCGACAAAGAAGCCAACATTTGTATGTTCTGGGGTTTGTCTTTGCCGAGTGTCCAGTATTTGACACTCGGCAAAGAAGGCAGGTTTGCCGAGTATCAGGTACTGGACACTCGACAAAGAGGCCAATATTTGTACGTTCTAGGCCAGACTTTGCCGAGTGTCCAGTATTTGACACTCGGCAAAGAAGGCAGGTATGCCGAGTGCCCGGGATTTGACACTCAGCAAAAGAAGGCAGGTTTGCCGAGTGTCAGGTCTGGGACACTCGGCAAACGCAAACGCACCGTGACTGTCTCCATGCCGTCGCGTTACTTTTTTTCGCTGAGCGTCGGTTTCAGCTCTCAACAAAGTATTTGCCGAGTGCCCGATAGAAAACACTCGGCAAAGAGACGTTTGCCGGCACTGTAGATGTCGCGTGCTGTTTGCCGAGTGTTATACTCAGCAAAACCTTTACCGAGTGTTTTGTGGGCTTTGCCGAGTGCTTGTGGCATATGGCAAAGCCACTATTTTCGGTTGTGATGGTACTAGGCAAATTCTTCATCTGACGGTGTGAACTGGCTAATTATACGTTTCTCTAGTGTCCCACAACAAAAATTGCTTTAAAACAAAATTAAAGGAGACGCATATGCACGAGCATAGTACCATCAAACACACACACACATACATACATACATACATACATACATACATACATACATACATATATATATATAACTACTACCCTGCAGCTGGCTATAAAATAACTTATTCTGTAGTCACTTTGAGTTATGATAATTACTATGTTAATTCACTACTACACAATAGCTTTGTAGGGGCGTCTCCAGAGGCTTTATAGGGGCGGTTTGCCCAGCCGCTCCTACCCAAGCGTCTCTACAAATCATGTATTTGTAGGGGCAGTTCCCAGACCGCCCTAACAAATAGATTTATAGAGGCGGCTGGTGTTATCAGCTGCCCCTACAAATCGATTTGTAGGGACGGCTGGTAACACCAGCCGCCTCTACAAAATTGATTTGTAGGGGCGGACGTAGTACCAGTCACCCCTATAATACATGTTTGTAGGGGCGATTCACTCTAGAACCACCCCTACAGCACATTTTTTCGGGAAAAAATTAAATTTACAATTCAAATTCAACCCGTATATATATAATTCAAATCTGAGCATATGCACAACCCAATATCATTACATCCATTATCATATTCAGATTAACCAAATTTAATAAGTTTCACAGCATCAATACACACCACGTTGCAGTGGGAGCTTATCAAAATCATACAAAAAAACTCGAGCGTACCAAAATCATAAAATAGCTAAGTTCATCAATTCCGATAGCTTTTCCATTGTTCTTGTTTCGTGCACATGAGTGAGCGAGAAATCAGAAGTTAGGATGATGGGTTGCAAATAAAAACCACCAGTTATGAGAAATGAAGACACAACGATCTAACGATATGTTATTGTTGCAAATTTAAACGAAAGTAGATGCCAACATGAATAAGAAGCTAACTCATTTATACGGGAGACAAATCTACTAAAGAAAATGTGAAAAAAGAGAGAACCAGACAGCACTTACCGCCGCCACCTCGGAGATGAGCCAAAGCAGCGACGAAGATGGACCGGCATGGCTGCACTAAGATTTGGCCCAATGCCACTCCACCATGTGTTGCGGCCTAGCACCGACGAAGGGGCGCTGACTGCTTGAGGAGGCACCCAAGGATCCGACCACATTAGATCTCTGCCCGCTCGCATCGGATTCAGATCCGGTCGCGCCAGCCCTCAATCCACCACCGGGGACGCCACCACCCAAGATCCGCCGCTTGGAGGATGGGCTCTCCTTGGATCTACCGTCGGGGAGCACACCCGCCCTCGATCCACCGACGGGGGACATCACCACCCTAGATCCGTCGCCGGATGATAGGCCCGCCTTAGATTCGTCGTCAGGGAGCGCGCCCACCCTGGATCCATCGTCGGTACGGGTAGGCCTTACCTTGCTGCTTCGGACTCCGGAGGGATGGCGAGGCCGCCTTGCTGGCGCTCCAGCAGATCTGCAACAAGAGGAGTAAAAGAGGTCAGTACGGGGAGGATCTAAGCGGCCAGCGGAGGGCCAAGGCCAACCCTGGTCTTCACTCCACTCCACGCGGCCCAGGAAAAGTAGGTAGTGGAGTTGGGGGTGTGCGCCCAGCTGCGAGGAGAGGGAACAGGTCGACGGTGAGAACGGCGCAGATCCGCCCGCCGGATCCGTGAACCGCGTCCGCACAGCACAGCCCGCCGACGGAGGGGCGCGCACCTAAAATCTACAAGGACTCGGCCAGACGAGGAGGTGGCGCGTAGACTCACCCGGAACAGCAGACGGAGCTCGACGGAGCGGGGCCGAACTTTTGCCCGCAGAGGTAGGTGGAGAGGATGGACGATTGAGGCGTCTGGAAGCCGCGTGGTGCGGCAGAGGCTCGCGTGCTGGCAGAGGCGGCATGGCGGAAGGCAGACAGCGGGATTTAGGGAGAAGCAGCCGCCAGAGGTAGGACGAGGCACCCAGGATGCGAAGTCATGCTGCGGATGAGCAGCTCACCGATGGCGGCAGTAGGAAGCATGCCGTCGAGGACGGGAGGAGGAAGAAGAAGGTGGGGAAGGGAGGAAAAAGGGTGATGGAGATAGAATAGGAAAATCTGGTTAGGGTTTGGGAAGTCCGATAGTTTTGTTCCTGGTGGGACAAACTTCGGCCGTTGAATTCAGACCAAGGGCTTAGATCATTGACAGCCTTAACAGGCCTGCGGGTTTCAGTGGCCTACAAGCGAAAGTGAGGCCCAAGCCTAGGTTTGGAGCCTGCGGGTTTCGGTGGCAGCATTTGTAGGGGCGGCTAGTAATTGACCTGCCCCTACAAATCGCAACACTAGGGGCGGCTGGTGAGTGAGCCGCCCCTACAAATCCGACTCATTTATAGGGGCGGCTCGTATCACCAGCCGCCTCTACTGTTCTATTTGTAGGGACGGCTGGTCTCGTGGCTCCCGAGCACGCCACTGTAGGCGCAACTCCATCACCAGCCGCCCCTAGAAAAAAAAATCTCCCGTTGCTACAAACCGTTTTTTACGTAATGATTTACGAGATTATAGTAACTCCTTATTAAGTGGTTTACTATATCGTTATGGTAAATATCTCTATGTGTTATAGTAACCCAACTATCATAAATATGTATTGACATTATCGTAAATTAGTATATAAAATTATCGTAAATGGAGGTGGCTACAGAATAACTTATTTTGTAGCTGGCTACTGAATATACTCTCCACATATATATATATATATATTTACGATAATATTTGTACCAATTTACGATAACATGAATATATATTTATGATACTCGTGTTACTACAACTCACGGTGATATTTACGATAATGTTATAGTAAATCACTTAGTAAGGAGTTACTGTAATCTCATAAATTAGCATGGTAATTATCGTAACTCAAAGTGGCCACATAATAAGTTATTCTATGTCCAGCTGCAGAATATTAGTTATATATATATATATATATATATATATATATATATAGTTATTATTAGTGACAGTTAGTCAGACGCTAATCAGACTCCTTTCTGGAATCCACTTATTTCAGTACAACCGGTCATAAGAACAAAATCCCAATATAATAAAACCCATAAGAAATCAAACCAATGGAACTATTACTACTTAAGGTACGTACGTAGACGATGATCATTCATCACAAGAAGAATAAATTAACACATAATAAAGTCATGCATGCATGTGAATCCAAACAACACTTGGATATGTCCCCTGTGTGTTCCTCCACCGGCCCTTGGATAGATGGACCAGCACGTCAATGGATCGATCTGCATGTGCGTCGCTGGATCTCTTCGATAGTCCGATGCATGCAAAAATATATATAATCCTCAACTCATGTGGTCATGCCGTCAACCGTCATGGATGGGAATTACGTAGCTAGGAATATAATAGGATGGATCAGTTGGTGTTGCGTGCGCAACGGGTGATGGCGGAGCAGCCGCGGCGGTAGGGGTTGGCGGCCTGCTGCGACGCGCAGTTGCTGTAGTAGGAGCGGCCGCGCTGGTTGCACGGCACCTGGTCCGCGCGCAGCGCCGCGTAGCTGATGTACCGGTTGGTCGGCTTCCGCGCAGCCAGCGCCCGCCGCAGGAGCGCGTCGCCGCCGCCCACCTCCTGCTCCTCGTCGCTCGCCACCGCGCACTGCCCCAGCGTCCCGTCGCACGGCACCGCCCGCACCGCCCCGAGGTCCGTAGTCGTCGGCCCGGCGCCGGCGGACGCCGCGCAGTAGAGGAGGCAGGCCGCGAGGGCCACGAGCGTCGCGGTGCCGAGGCGACCCATGAATCGCATGCACGAACGTAAGGCGATGTGTTTGTTGTTCTTGCTGTTGCGTTAAGGATTGCTGGAGTGCGTGGCCGGATGGAATGGCACGCCCCAGCCCTAGGTGGCCCTGGCTTTCTAGGTGCAGGACGATGGGAGTGAGAGGCTGAGGCTTGCTGCACGGGAGAGAAACGAGGCCGTCCGCGCGTCGTATCTCGCAGATGCGGCGGTCCAGTCTTTCGGATCAGTTTCAAGTTTGGCTCGGCCGAATCCTCTCAGCCATTGAACGTAGTTGGGCCGGCCCATCTGAACTGCTCATCGGTAAAATCTTCAATGATCCATGGGGGGCTAGTATTCCTCCAGGGAAAATGCACTTGATCCATCAAGTCCGATTCACCTTCCATGCAAGATTGAAAAATCGGTTCGTCTTTTGAAACCTTCCGATTTTGCTCTTTGAGCAATTTTTGCCTATGTTGTGGGGAGAGAGAGATAAATCAAATTATGTTGATAGCTTAGGGGGATGAAATGGACTTCATGAAAAAAAGGTTGCAAAAATAATATTTCAATAAATCAGCCAAAATATAATTGAAACTTATATGCAACTGAAAATCCAAAACCCGATTTCATATTACAAAATTCATATAAACTTATTTTAACTCAAAAAATATATAACTAGTTTTAGATTTTTTTTCTAAGTCATGATTTTATCTTATGGTGCCATCTAGTTTAGAATTATTTAAACCTTATATGGTCAACCTTCTTTTAATTTATATTTCTAATAGAAGTAGTCTACGTAGATAACACATATTGCCTAGGAGTTCAAGGGACTTGAACAACAACACTAGTATTTTGGGCATGTTTGATTTCCCATGACTAAAATTTAGCTACTAAAATCAATGACTAAACTTTAGTCACCCCTGTTTAGTTCTAGTGACTAAAAGTGACTAAAGATAATTAAAGCAGTTCAACAAAGACCAAACTACCCCTAATGAATGCCCAAATTAGGGTGGGGAACCAGCAATAATGGGGGGCAGCCCTTATCCACTGGGCACTTTAGCCCACTTTTAGCTACTTTTGGGTGACTAATGTGACTAAATTACTTTAGTCTATTTTTAGTCAGTTTGTTTGGTACTTTAGTAGCTAAACTTTAGCAGGGGACCAAACAGGCCCATGTGTCCACATCATACCCAATTCTATTTAGTATGAACAGACAAATGAGAGCTCAACACCAGAAGATGGATATAGTTGTAGCTTTTCTTATTTGGATAGGAAATGGATAAGCTACACGATTTTGGAGCTACCTCGGCTCCATCTGCTAGGTAGCACCAAATCTAAAAAGGAACATCCTTTTATTACATGTAATGGTTTCTGTTTCTTATTTACAAATGTGCAACTAAATTGTATTTGGTAGGGTTTGAATTATCAGCATAAAGATAACACATCAAACTAAAGCGGAAATAAGTTAATAAAATATTATGAACCACATAACTAGTTTAGTTTCATGTGGTTGAACTGCTCACCTAACATTCAGATCCTTGTTTCAAGATGGGTCCTCGTATTTTTCTAGACTTATTGTACAAATGTACAACACTACTTCTTAATCGTAGACGGCATGCCTATCGACATCGAGACTTCCTTAGCATGACTTCCTCAATCAAAAGATTTGTGCTCATAATGGATGGGTGAGCGTGCGTGTGTGTGTGTTCATAGATGTGGATGCGCATCTATAAGGACCGAATGACCCATGACCCAAGAGGGAGGTGAACTGGGCTCTAAAGAAATTAATAAAACAATCTTAGTCTATGCAAACTCTAAGCCCCTTAGCATGTTGTTCTACTAAATTAAAGAAATCTAATGAGTCCTTAGGACCAACACACTAATCATGTCCATAGCAAGGATCACACTATGAATAAAAGGTCTTAGATAAGCAAGTGTGAAATATAAACTAAGCACACTAATATGAACCCAAGGAGAATCCTATCTTTCAGTCATCCAACACTGCGGCTCAGCTTTAGGATTTTTTTATGCGTGACTTATTTTTATATGGTGAGAATTAAGGAGACATGCATGCATGCATGCATCACAAATATCCTGGATTACAAATAAAGATTAATTATATATCACATAGTTGGTACCAAGCCTTAATAGTGGGATGAAATTGTGCATACTACGTGCTCGCATGCGCACACACATGAAGCAGTAGTACTAGTCTTTACATATAATTCCACAGTAATATAGCTCCAGTTTCTCACTTGCAGTCACATGATCACGGACAACTCAAGCTCCTGGGGTCCATTATTTATCTTCCCCCTGAAGAGATTAAAAGAGATCAGGATGGCAAAAACTGCTATGAGATGTACTTGGAGAGGAAATTTTATGTAGCCAAGTGGGAGGTTTAGTCCTATGGGCTCATGTTTTCTGACAACCAATTAATATGTCATTTAGAAGAATTTACATGATATTATGAAACATTTGAGGGGTGTCCATTTAAATACTTTTCAAATAAATGTGGCAGATAAAAATCTACCTAGGTTGAAGTCTTTCCGGTCCTCCTGGTGAGAGTAAAACTGAGGCTGCTGCATGATGTTGAACTGCAGGAAGCTCCTTATTGGGTCATAAGGAATAAAACCCTGCTGCTGATACTCACTTGTCGATGGTGCCCCCATCATGTTCACTGTCTGTTGTGCCCTTTCATTCTCTTCAACCTTTGCTTGTGAGACAGTTATTAGCTTGTTACAATATTTTTCTTTAAAGCTAAGATAACTTAGCATTTCAGTAACTACAGTTCAAAAAAATTTTCTTCTAAGAGTGATCACACAGTCCATAGCAACTAACAGGTTACTTACCCTGCTCCTTAAGCACAAGTTGTCATTCTGCAACTCCATTTCCTGAAAAGATGAAATTCTTGTTTTATTTTGTTCATTGTCGAGTAAATCAATAAATTTGTGAGAGGAAAAATGTTCTCTTGTTGCTCTTTACCCTTCTCTGCATGTACTCGAGTTCAGAACACAGCACTTCGTTCTGCAGAGTTGGATGCTCATTAATTGTGTAAACAAAATATTTCTTTTTCCACACATAATGCAATAAATAGAATTTACATCAGAAAAGAAAAAGGACTTTTTGAAGTTTGAGTGAGGATAATTGTTATTATATATATAGTGCATAGTACCTTTCTTGCTCTAATCTTTCCAAGGCCTTTGTCTAACCTAGTCTCCAGGTGGCTCATGGTTGTGATAGAATCATCTATCAGGGCCCTTGTCGGGGACTAAATACTGGGGTACCCAAAGAAGTGGAGCTAATAACCATCAAACGTTGATGCTTCCCGAGCAGCACAAGAACGCAACTACACACCTCTTGCCCATACGATCGAAGGTTGGCTGCGCCGCCTGCCCCTAAGGGTTGGCTCCGCCTCGACCCCGAGGGCTGGACTCCACCTCGCCTAGCCCCTAAGGGTTGGCTCCGCCTCACCCGACCCCCGAGGGCTAGACTCCGCCTCGCCCGACGACTGGGGGCAGACTCCACCTCGCCCGACGACTGAGGGCTGGCTCTGCCTCACCCGACGTCTGGGGGCAGGCTCCGCCTCGCCCGACGTCCCAGGGCTGGCTCCACCTCGCCCAACGACCGGGGGCTGGCTCCACCTCGTCCGACATCCGAGGACTGGCTCCGCCTCGCCCGACGTCTGAGGGCAGGCTCCGCCTCGCCCGACGACTGAGGGCTGGCTCCGCCTTGCTCGACGTCTGAGGGCTGGCTTCGCCTAGCCCGACGTGCTGGGGCAAGCTCCGCCTCGCCCGACACCTGGGGGCAGACTCCGCCTCGCCCGACGCCTGAGGGCTGGCTCCACTCGCTCGATGTCCGGGGCAGGCTCGCCGCGCCGACGTTCGAGGGCTGGCTCCGCCTCGCCCGACGTCTCAGGACAGGCTCCGCCTCGCCCGACGTCCTGTGGCAGGCTCTCCCTTGCCCAACGTCCGCACCCTGCTCCTTCATAATGACGAGCACAGGGTAAGATAGGACACTCGAGTCAACCGCAGTACCGAGGACCATACCCTACATGCCTGTGGAAAAGTACCGTCAGGATATGACGGGACGGGCGCTTTAAGCCCTTCCAGGCACGACAGAGCCCGAACAGTGTTGTAGGCGCCGACTTTTGTCTTACATTGTTGTGAGCGCCGCCATCAACCTTCGGACATGGATCCTAACATGAGCATATGACAACCACTATGATCCAGGAGGGAACTCACATCATCTATAGTAACGAAAGGGAAGGCAGGGCACCCCACTAAGGGGACGGATCAATTCAACACACCACGCACCACATTACACACAGCTGAGCAGCAACCAAGCTCTCAGTACTCGTTCGACCTTTCCATCAGAGACTTGGGACATGTCCCTCTCTCGACCGTTTGTACCCCCTACTACGAACCTTTCAGTGCTAATAACACGAGCAACAAAACAGACAGGGCGACGAGGGACATTACGCCCAACCAAGATAAACCTTGTGTCCTTTAGCACATCATCCGGGCCTAATGCGCAACAAATATAAATTTACTAGTTGGTGTTTATTCGAAACACCAACAGTTGGCGTGCCAGGTAGGGGACCTTTGCGTGTTCCGATGTTAAACATCAGGCCATGGATGGCTAGCCACAGAATCAGCTATGTCCCGGGCGCACACGTGTGCTTCAAGAACCTAGACTTCATCATCACGGTGGGAGGAGAGTTGGCTTTGGCTCACGCCGCCATCCAATCTCTTCCCTCCATCGGCCTCAACTACGAGAGGCTTGAGCACCGACTTGGTGTCTCCCTAGGACCCCAGAGTGCAGGGAGGGCCAGCGCCGCCTCACCCTTTCCAACACCAACGACATGGCACAGTTCGCCGGAGGAGGATCCCTCTCTCTGGGATACCACATACGGAGCGCCCCGATAGCGCTTTTGTTCGGTCTCCACAACGCTGCAGCCACCGTCAGCCACCTTGTGGCACGATGCATGGTCCTGCCGCCCGCGAACAAAGAGTTTGTGGGGGTGA